TGCGCACCAGCCCCCAGCGCCATTTCCCCCCCAGGCCCGTTGCCAAAAAAGGTTGCCAACCCCTGGATTAGAATATGAACGAAATAGGACCCTGAAGGTGCACACTCATAGTCTAAAGTGAAAGGTACCAGATCAACTTACATTACACATGTTTGGGGTAATTTTTTTGTTCAACTGACATTCCTAACTAGATGGTTATGCTAGCTTTGCAGGCTATGTGTCAAAACTGACCTACAGATCTCTTTCAGACTCCTTGTTATTAGTAGATCTTTAACAGTTGTCAGGGAGGAGTTAAATATTCTGAATTTAACCTTCACTGTTTTGGGGGAGAAAAATCTCTAAACCTAAGGCATACAAATCCATGATGATGTAAGCATTTTCCTAAATTAGTCTAAGTGAAGCCTAATTAGCTTTTTCCTTCATTCTCTGACAGACTAGCTCTGTTGAGCCCCTTATTCAAGTGCTTCTTGAAAGCTGGGTGCTCTAAGGAGTTTGAAATCTTATGAACTTGTGTCTGAGTTTGCCCTCCCCTCAAACACATCTCTCTTGTTTTGTCCTTTTCTTTTCTTCCTTTCCTGTGGGAAAACAATGTCTGCTTGGTTTCTCAGCTTAAGTTAGCTGTTGCAGGAGAGAAAGCAACCTTCCTATGGATGGAACATGCTGTCCTGGTGGTCATTAATCCTGGTGGTTTCTGACCATTCTGGAGACATGTGACCAGAGCTTCCCCTTCATGCACTCTTAAGAAACCAAATAGGCATTTAAAAAGTGAACTCTCTAATTAAAAAAATAGATAGTAAAAGGCAACTGTAGTTACTACAAAACACTTCTACAGGTTTTCCAATTACCTTTTCCCCCTAGTTGTCAAAAAAGGGGGTGACCCAAATAAATACTTTTAACCAGTTTATATATATATTTTAAAAGCCCACTGCTCTTCAACTCCACCTATTCCCCAATTCCTTTTTGAAAGATTTAGGAACTTAACCCATCTACCTAGACTAGGGATAGGCAACCTTTCCCCTTTAAGGGCCTAGGGACTTCAACTCCCAGAACCCCAGGAGCTATTGGTCAACATGGGACTATTGGCCAACATGGCTGAGGCTTCTGGGAGCTGAAGTCCCTCAGTCCTTAAAGGGGAAAGGTTGCCTACCCCTGACCTAGACAGTCCCTAGCTTCCTATGATCTTTCTCAGGTTTTCCCTCCTTGCTCAGACCGTAGTACCTGTCTACTCTACAGATCTCTCTCTCTTTCAGTATTCTGGAACAAATAGTGCCATACCCACGGAGATTGTGGCTTAACACCCAGCTGTTAAATCCCATGGAAAGTCGGGATATGCCTTTAAATATTGATCTGAAGAATAAATTTCACAGCATCTACAGATTGTGAAAATGAAAATTCATGAAATATGAGCTACCATGCTGTATGTTGTGCTTTTAGGTTGGTCTGATAAATAAATCACCACATGATGGATTTTGTTGCTTGTTTATTTTATGACAGGGTT